AGGATTTCCTCCCCCCTTTTTAGCCCCCCCCCCCCCCGTTCTACACAATCTGTCAGAGTCAGCATGATCTGGGTCCCATCAATTAAACAGTGTCATCTGGTGGGTCCCAGGAAGTGGGCCTTCTCTGTTGTGGCATCTGCCCTCTGAAATACTGTTGCCCCTCCCCCCTCAAGATTCATATGGCCCCTAACCTGGCCCTATATAATTTACTATTTTTCCATTTTCCATTATTGTATTTTACTGTCAAATTGTTTCTTCTATGTGTTCTTTCAGGGTTTTTTCCCCTTCCTTCCTTCTTTCACTTACAATACTTCTGTATCTGATTATTATTAATTTAAAGATCTCTACTCAACTAAAACCTGGAAAGCATCCGAATAATCATTCATTCCCCAGAATTATTAAGGGAGAATAGGGATTGGTGGAGCCCTGTTTTGGCTGCTTTTTTTACTCATATCAACTGGAACTATTGTCATTCCATTCCACCTTAATGATCCGGGAGGGGGATGAGTCCAACAAACAGGTGGCCGAACTAACAGCACAGAGAACCCTACTTTATATTTAATAAACGAATACAGCAAGTAATCTGACACAAGCACTTTACAAGTAGATCCATGAATAATGTAAAGTTGTCCTGATTTGCTGAAAACTAACTTCCTTGATATTTTACAGGGTTTTTTAAGTAACCAATGCATGTATCCAATTTTTCTGTGCATCATTTGTATAGAAAATGTGCAAAAGTTATTTTTAACAAATATTCTGAGGCTGAATTAAATATCAATTTATAATTCAGATAAGTATTTATTCCAAAATAACTGAGTAATTATGAAAGAAAATATTCTTACAAATTTGACATAAAATTGACTAAAGAAGCATTTCAGAAATATCTTAGATAATTTCCTCATCATATCTCACTGTTTATCATTCAAAAGATATTTTTTGCTATGTTCGAAATACCTTTAGGATGTCTGTTTCTGATCATTTAAGCCTTTCATTTTTTTTAAATAGGTCTTCCTGTGTTTTCAAAGAATTGCAGCTGACCTCCTTGATGTCAAATTAAACAAAGCAGAAATAGAGCAATCACAGGTGATATGCCTAATTATTTACTAGTGTGTGTGTGTGTGTATTACTCAAAGGTTCAGCATTTTTGTTGTTGCACAGTTGAAAGACTAAGTACACATTGTATCATTACTTCAGGGATAAAGAATCACAAAATGTTCCCCTATGCTGGAGTCCTTATAGTGAATAGCCAAATTCACTAATATATAGCTGAATATTTTGAACATCAGTAATATTCATCAGGAATTGCTGACAGTCACTAGGTTTCAGACCTTCACTAAAACATAACTTGGTGATCCTTCACATAAAAGAGAATTAGTTTATAGCACTGACTCATACAAATTTTAAAAGAGGCTAGACAAATTGCTGACAGGGAAGACCATTAGTGACTAGTACTCTCATGCTTATATGGAATCTTCAGATTCATAGGCTACTTAGTTCTGAAAAGAGTTGCTGGGCATGTAAAATGGAAAAGACTGTTGCCTTCATTCCATTTGGATTCCTGGGTGAAATAGGATTTGCAGCTATGTGGGCTTTTGGCCAGATCATCAAAGACCTTCCTTTCCTTCCTTCCTATTTTTAGTGTGGCCAAAGGCTTGGGGATGCCCAGTGAAATTTTAGACCTTTCTCCTTTCATCAGCAAACCTCCCCTGTGCCATCTTGAATTTCCCTAGGATTCAAAAGAAAAAAACTAACATAGAAAACAGGAATTTCTCATTTTTCTACCACTCCTCCTGTGCATTGTTGGTGATTATATGCTTAACTTATATATTAATTTATACAGCATTTTTACATAATTTTCCCTGTCCTTATTTTCAGAATTAGGTCCACTATAAAATTGATAGAATTGAAATATAGTAACAGTGATAATAAAAAGCCCTAAATATATATAATAGTTTGTTGACAGTTTAAAAAAGTAATTAATCTCCCAAATCATTAATACTTGCATCTGTACAATATCTGTACAGATCACTTTCTGGTAAGTGACAGAAACTGGAGGTTTGGACAAAATCTTAGCAATAATCCTAAGATAAGTATAAATGCCCTTTGCATTAAAAGGTCAGTGCTTGTGTTTTGTTAATTAAACTCAACTGAAAAGTCCAAATAGTTTTGATCTTTTTCCATGCAATGGCTTAAACATAGGTGAACAGACTATCAAATGTGTACAACATTTTGAAGAATGATTAATTTCTCCAAAAAGTCTAAAAATCCTCAGCTGCAAGAACCAGCAAGCTGCTCAGAAATTAAATCCTTCAGGGTTAGATAACAACATTCACAGCAGATAACATGCTCTTCTTCATGGCTTTAACTGCTTGTCCTAATACCAGGAGACCTAAAGGCCAGAGAGCATAATTCTTGTCTCTCTGATATGATAAGACTATGCTGCTCAGTTGGAAGTCAAGCTGCCCAGATTCTAATCCCTTGCCTTTTACCTTTAGATCATATCTTGAACAATATATAGTGAGTTTATCTTTAACAAGGAATATTTATGTAATCAAATAATTTGTACCAATATTTGTTTATTTTAAAAATAGATAGAACTTGATCTAGCCAAAGCTGACAATTTTAAAATTGCTCTAGTTTCAGTGGATAATTTAGATAATCAGAAATTAAGTCCATTACTTGGTTCATTGCTCTAGCACAGTCGGGGAGAAAGTTAAGGAAAACCTTAACTGAAAATAGAAGTTAGTTTAAATTCTCAAGTTTTAGTGTCAGGGTCACAGGAAGTGATAGTACTTCTCTGTGCTGCACTGATCAGATCACATCTGGAATCCTGTGTCCAGTTCTGATTGCCACAATAGAAAAAAGATGCTGAGGAACTAGAAAGAGAAGTGAGGAAAGTGCAAAGATGGTGAGGGACTTGGAGGATAAATCCTACAAAGACCAGTTAAAGGAACTTGGTGTGTTCAGCCTAAAGAACAAAAGGCTGGGGGAGACATGAGAGCAGTCTCCCAATATGTGAAGGGGTGTCACAAAGAAGAAGGGGTGGATTTATTCTCCAGAACACCTAAGGTGTTCCACCAGCAGGTGGAAACTTTATAGTGAGAGAACCAAACTTGAAATAAGGAGGAACTTCCTGACTGTGAGAGCTCTCAAGCAGTGGAACAGCTGGTCTCCTGAAGTGGTGGGTGTTCCATCACTGGAAGTTTTCAAGAAAAGATTGAACAGAGGATGGTCAGAGGATTCCTGTGCTGGACAGGGGTTTGGATTCCAAGGCCCCTTCTAGCCCTATGACTCTAAGTTAAATATTTAATCTTTCTTCTAAAAGATAATTGAAAGTTGATTTGTGAGAAGTAAGTGAAAGATTACTTTTCTTTTAGCATTAATTTTATTAGTTTATTAGTTAGCTACTTTCCAAGACTGTTCTAGCGCGCGCGCACGCTCTCTCTCTCTCTCTATCTAGTATGCCGCCCATCTCCACCAACAGGTGACATTTACTCCACATTCTGCCACTGATGTACTTTGAATGGGTGAACAAATTGAAGAATGTGCTTAAATACAGTGGTACCTCGGGATACGAACGCCTCTACTAACGAACTTTTCGGGTTATGACCAGCTCCGGCCGCAAAAATTTACTTCGATGTGTGAACTCCGCCTCAGGGTACAGTCATTTTTCCGCCCTGACATGTCCGTGGCCATTTTTCCACCCCTGACAGGTGGTCCGCGGCCATTTTTCCGCTGCACCGCACGGCGCCCAGCTGTTTTCGTGCTGCGCCGCGCCTGGCCGTTTTCGCGCTGCGCCGTGCCTGGCTGTTTTCGCGCCGCGCCACGCCAC